CGCTGATTCCAAAAATATAGTGTGTTGATGGTCACGGAGCAACATTTTCGAAAGAATCGGTGCGAAATGCGAATTTTTGAAGATTTCTAAAAATTTCGATATTTCAACGGTCGATTTCGGCAAAACGACTGAAGTAATCAAAGAAACGATGCCGAATCTGAGTTCTAGAGCTCGAAATCTACAAGAAAATGTATTTAGTTGAGTTTCGAAAATGTCAAAATTTGGCCGAAATTCGAAGAAGGGGGGACCATTGGAAAATTTCACTCTTAAAAAAAGTTGTTTAAAAATTGCGAAAAAATTCAGGGACGTAGAGCTCGACACGCTGATTCCAAAAATATAGTGTGTTGATGGTCACGGAGCAACATTTTCGAAAGAATCGGTGCGAAATGCGAATTTTTGAAGATTTCTAAAAATTTCGATTTTTCAACGGTCGATTTCGGCAAAACGACTGAAGTAATCAAAGAAACGATGCCGAAAGTGAGTTCTAGAGCTCGAAATCTACAAGAAAATGTATTTAGTAGAGTTTCGAAAATGTCAAAATTTGGCCGAAATTCGAAGAAGGGGGGACCATTGGAAAATTTCACTCTTAAAAAAAGTTGTTTAAAAATTGCGAAAAAATTCAGGGACGTGGAGCTCGACACGCTGATTCCAAAAATATAGTGTGTTGATGGTCACGGAGCAACATTTTCGAAAGAATCGGTGCGAAATGCGAATTTTTGAAGATTTCTAAAAATTTCGATATTTCAACGGTCGATTTCAGCAAAACGACTGAAGTAATCAAAGAAACGATGCCGAATCTGAGTTCTAGAGTTCGAAATCTACAAGAAAATGTATTTAGTTGAGTTTCGAAAATGTCAAAATTTGGCCGAAATTTGAGGAAGGGGGGACCATTGGAAAAATTTCATTTTTAAAAAAGTCGTCTAAAAATTGCGAAAAAATTCAGGGACGTTGAGCTCGACACGCTGATTCCAAAAATATAGTGTGTTGATGGTCACGGAGCAACATTTTCGAAAGAATCGGTGCGAAATGCGAATTTTTGAAGATTTCTAAAAATTTCGATATTTCAACGGTCGATTTCGGCAAAACGACTGAAGTAATCAAAGAAACGATGCCGAATCTGAGTTCTAGAGTTCGAAATCTACAAGAAAATGTATTTAGTTGAGTTTCGAAAATGTCAAAATTTGGCCGAAATTTGAGGAAGGGGGGACCATTGGAAAAATTTCATTTTTAAAAAAGTCGTCTAAAAATTGCGAAAAAATTCAGGGACGTTGAGCTCGACACGCTGATTCCAAAAATATAGTGTGTTGATGGTCACGGAGCAACATTTTCGAAAGAATCGGTGCGAAATGCGAATTTTTGAAGATTTCTAAAAATTTCGATATTTCAACGGTCGATTTCGGCAAAACGACTGAAGTAATCAAAGAAACGATGCCGAATCTGAGTTCTAGAGCTCGAAATCTACAAGAAAATGTATTTAGTTGAGTTTCGAAAATGTCAAAATTTGGCCGAAATTCGAAGAAGGGGGGACCATTGGAAAATTTCACTCTTAAAAAAAGTTGTTTAAAAATTGCGAAAAAATTCAGGGACGTAGAGCTCGACACGCTGATTCCAAAAATATAGTGTGTTGATGGTCACGGAGCAACATTTTCGAAAGAATCGGTGCGAAATGCGAATTTTTGAAGATTTCTAAAAATTTCGATATTTCAACGGTCGATTTCGGCAAAACGACTGAAGTAATCAAAGAAACGATGCCGAATCTGAGTTCTAGAGTTCGAAATCTACAAGAAAATGTATTTAGTTGAGTTTCGAAAATGTCAAAATTTGGCCGAAATTTGAGGAAGGGGGGACCATTGGAAAAATTTCATTTTTAAAAAAGTCGTCTAAAAATTGCGAAAAAATTCAGGGACGTTGAGCTCGACACGCTGATTCCAAAAATATAGTGTGTTGATGGTCACGGAGCAACATTTTCGAAAGAATCGGTGCGAAATGCGAATTTTTGAAGATTTCTAAAAATTTCGATATTTCAACGGTCGATTTCGGCAAAACGACTGAAGTAATCAAAGAAACGATGCCGAATCTGAGTTCTAGAGTTCGAAATCTACAAGAAAATGTATTTAGTTGAGTTTCGAAAATGTCAAAATTTGGCCGAAATTTGAGGAAGGGGGGACCATTGGAAAAATTTCATTTTTAAAAAAGTCGTCTAAAAATTGCGAAAAAATTCAGGGACGTTGAGCTCGACACGCTGATTCCAAAAATATAGTGTGTTGATGGTCACGGAGCAACATTTTCGAAAGAATCGGTGCGAAATGCGAATTTTTGAAGATTTCTAAAAATTTCGATATTTCAACGGTCGATTTCGGCAAAACGACTGAAGTAATCAAAGAAACGATGCCGAATCTGAGTTCTAGAGCTCGAAATCTACAAGAAAATGTATTTAGTTGAGTTTCGAAAATGTCAAAATTTGGCCGAAATTCGAAGAAGGGGGGACCATTGGAAAATTTCACTCTTAAAAAAAGTTGTTTAAAAATTGCGAAAAAATTCAGGGACGTAGAGCTCGACACGCTGATTCCAAAAATATAGTGTGTTGATGGTCACGGAGCAACATTTTCGAAAGAATCGGTGCGAAATGCGAATTTTTGAAGATTTCTAAAAATTTCGATATTTCAACGGTCGATTTCGGCAAAACGACTGAAGTAATCAAAGAAACGATGCCGAATCTGAGTTCTAGAGTTCGAAATCTACAAGAAAATGTATTTAGTTGAGTTTCGAAAATGTCAAAATTTGGCCGAAATTTGAGGAAGGGGGGACCATTGGAAAAATTTCATTTTTAAAAAAGTCGTCTAAAAATTGCGAAAAAATTCAGGGACGTTGAGCTCGACACGCTGATTCCAAAAATATAGTGTGTTGATGGTCACGGAGCAACATTTTCGAAAGAATCGGTGCGAAATGCGAATTTTTGAAGATTTCTAAAAATTTCGATATTTCAACGGTCGATTTCGGCAAAACGACTGAAGTAATCAAAGAAACGATGCCGAATCTGAGTTCTAGAGTTCGAAATCTACAAGAAAATGTATTTAGTTGAGTTTCGAAAATGTCAAAATTTGGCCGAAATTTGAGGAAGGGGGGACCATTGGAAAAATTTCATTTTTAAAAAAGTCGTCTAAAAATTGCGAAAAAATTCAGGGACGTAGAGCTCGACACGCTGATTTCAAAAATATAGTGTGTTGATGGTCACGGAGCAACATTTTCGAAAGAATCGGTGCGAAATGCGAATTTTTGAAGATTTCTAAAAATTTCGATATTTCAACGGTCGATTTCGGCAAAACGACTGAAGTAATCAAAGAAACGATGCCGAATCTGAGTTCTAGAGCTCGAAATCTACAAGAAAATGCATTTAGTTGAGTTTCGAAAATGTCAAAATTTGGCCGAAATTTGAAGAAGGGGGGACCATTGGAAGAATTTCACTTTTAAAAAAGTTGTCTAAAAATTGCGAAAAAATTCAGGGACGTAGAGCTCGACACGCTGATTTCAAAAATATAGTGTGTTGATGGTCACGGAGCAACATTTTCGAAAGAATCGGTGCGAAATGCGAATTTTTGAAGATTTCTAAAAATTTCGATATTTCAACGGTCGATTTCGGCAAAACGACTGAAGTAATCAAAGAAACGATGCCGAATCTGAGTTCTAGAGCTCGAAATCTACAAGAAAATGCATTTAGTTGAATTTCGAAAATGTCAAAATTTGGCCGAAATTTGAAGAAGGGGGGACCATTGGAAAAATTTCATTTTTAAAAAAGTCGTCTAAAAATTGCGAAAAAATTCAGGGACGTAGAGCTAGACACGCTGATTTCAAAAATATAGTGTGTTGATGGTCACGGAGCAACATTTTCGAAAGAATCGGTGCGAAATGCGAATTTTTGAAGATTTCTAAAAATTTCCATATTTCAACGGTCGATTTCGGCAAAACGACTGAAGTAATCAAAGAAACGATGCCGAAAGTGAGTTCTAGAGCTCGAAATCTACAAGAAAATGCATTTAGTTGAATTTCGAAAATGTCAAAATTTGGCCGAAATTTGAAGAAGGGGGGACCATTGGAAGAATTTCTCTTTTAAAAAAGTTGTCTAAAAATTGCGAAAAAATTCAGGGACGTAGAGCTCGACATGCTGATTTCAAAAATATAGTGTGTTGATGGTCACGGAGCAACATTTTCGAAAGAATCGGTGCGAAATGCGAATTTTTGAAGATTTCTAAAAATTTCCATATTTCAACGGTCGATTTCGGCAAAACGACTGAAGTAATCAAAGAAACGATGCCGAATCTGAGTTCTAGAGCTCGAAATCTACAAGAAAATGCATTTAGTTGAGTTTCGAAAATGTCAAAATTTGGCCGAAATTTGAAGAAGGGGGGACCATTGGAAGAATTTCACTTTTAAAAAAGTTGTCTAAAAACTGCGAAAAAATTCAGGGACGTAAAGCTCGACATGCTGATTTCAAAAATATAGTGTGTTGATGGTCACGGAGCAGCATTTTCGAAAGAATCGGTGCGAAATGCGAATTTTTGAAGATTTCTAAAAATTTCGATATTTCAACGGTCGATTTCGGCAAAACGACTGAAGTAATCAAAGAAACGATGCCGAAAGTGAGTTCTAGAGCTCGAAATCTGCAAAAAAATGTATTTAGTTGAGTTTCGAAAATGTCAAAATTTGGCCGAAATTTGAAGAAGGGGAATTTTTGAGGATTTCTAAAAATCTCGTACAACGGTCGATTCCGGCAAAAAATTGAAAAAGGGTGTTGCGTACAGGTCACTGCAGAACACAGGAACCAAATATTTTGTTACTTGTAGCAAACTATAAGAGCTCCTACTCTTGATCGAACCTCAGCCACCTTCTAGGAGATGGCGCCGCCCATCACATTTCGCACTTAATGAAGCTGCGCAACAGGGTTTGGGGTATTATCCCTATTTTCAGGGTAGTCCTGTTTAGTCCTGTCGGGAATATTTCACAGTTCGGTCCGAATTTGTTAACAGGTCCTCCTCCTCATATTTCAAAGTTGGTGATTGAAACTCTGACAGAACTTTATGGTGAGTTCAGAGTTGTTAACGTTTCCCACTTTCAGACAGCAAAGCAGGCAAAAAATACACCAGCGATTCTCATTAAATAAAAAAAAAATAACGCAATCGAGCAGTTTTGCGCGAAAAATCACTTTTTTTTTGTTCAAATAGGGTTTGTGTTCGAACAGCTCTATCAATCAACAATAATGGAATTGTTAAAACGTTATTTAACGAATAATGTGTCATTTTCACTCGAAGAGGGATCTTATTACAAGTCAAATAAGAAAACTAATAACAACGTCGGGTACTTGATTAATTTCGGAAAGGGATTTATAGGGAAAGTTTTCGTGTCCAGAACTTATTTTAATTAAAAGAACCAAGTCATGACAGCGAGCTTGCCATAAAGATGCGCTCTCAGTTTCAGGAAATCGTACTATTTAAACAAGCGTAAAAAATAATTTGTCAGCGGAGATTTAAGTCCTTCTGAAAGTGTGGCCTGTGTATTTTTCTGTGTTGTATAGTTAGTTCCTAGAAATTTCAAACATAATAATCCTTTAATCGTTTCATTTACAATAGTAAATGTTCGCGGGATGTGGGTTTTTGAACTTATAATTCTGACTACTAAATTATCTCGTTATATCATTAATGTCGTCATCATTACCTTTATGAATTCTTGGCAGTAGCGTCGCGGATATTCCGATTATCAACAATGACAATAGTAAAATTGTTGCTGCTCTCATGAATAAATAATTCGAGAAATTATACGACTTTAAAGTTTCACCAAAACCATCTATGAATATTTATTTTTTTTCACAATTTTGTGACAGTGTGCAACACTTGCACAACGACGAAAGCAGAATTAATAAAGCGATTCTTACCCAATCTGACAATTACTGCAATTTACTTAATCTGCACCGTCGTAAAAATATAAAGCATAATTCTATTTATCCAGCCGTTCCCAACACCGAAAGACTAAATCTTGTTAACAATATAACATTTAAACTTAATTAAACTTAACCCCAATAAATTACCCAATAGAAAGTTAACCAAGCCGACGTATTTGCAAAGTTGCACAAATTAAATTAAAGATTTCGCAGGCGTTGTGGATCCGCTGATTTTGCAGTAAAACCTGATAATAAAGCGGCCATAAAGAATCTTCCTTTAGGTGGAAAATCGTTCCAGAAGTGTTTTGAACTAACTACAAAAGGAAAAGTTATTTTTGGCTTAATGCTTTTTTATTATGTTTCTTGAAAGACCCACTAAAATATTAAACCGACTGATGGCTTAGTTCATGATGCGATATTTCCAAATTATACTCTTCCAAGTTTACGAGCCAAGATCGAAAAATTTTATTGCGCTCCGGAGTTTTTCCGGGTAATTTTTTCCGGGTCACGTAGGCAAATATGTACCGTACCTTAAAACTCGAAGTAACGCCGGTGTTATTACGTGTCCCTGTGAACAATTTTATTGTGGAACGAAAAAGAAAAGGCGCAACTGGGAAATTCGTGACTGAATATTATTTTCGAAATTGCGTCCGAAACTTTTTCCGTTCTTCTGTTACCAATTCTGATTAAATTGGAGCTTGTTAATTGAATCATAAAGTGAGTTTGAGTTTAATGAGAATTTTATAAAACGTAGGAGCCCTCTTTTATGCAGATTTATTCCAAACCGGAGTCCTCCATTGATTTAAATGCCTTCGAATGCCGCCGAACATCGAAACGAGATACTGCCCGAATCAATATTTAAACAACGTACAAGTAATTATTTCCAATTATTAATCGATATTCTTTGAGCTTCGGGGCGATCCTTCCCCAGGCTCGGGATAGCCGGTAATAACCGGCTCGGTAAATAAAACTTGAACATGCCGGCAAACATCGCAACCTTTTCAATTTGTTGCAGGCGAGGCAAAACCAGTTTCAGCCGAAGGAGGGCAATTATCGTCATGGCTGGCAATATTGTGCTAGCACTAGTGGTCTCGGTAAACTTTGATTAAGCTAACACCGAGCTTCCGAGCTTAGCGGGTTCGGGCCAAATCCATCGCTTTATGGATTGAATCGCGAGCTTTGAAAGTATTTCGATGGACAGACGGACGGAAAGGACGGACCGACTCGGGAAGTAAAATCGATTTTCGTCTCGAAGTGAATCTCGTTATCCCTCTGAAGAAGTTTTAACGCCAATCGCTCCACTTTTACTTCTTGAGAGCAAGCTAGAAGCTAGTGTACGAAAAAATAGGTCTCCCGTTTCCGTCTGTCCGTCTGCCGTACTGTCCAAATTTTTATTAGACAGATAATCTCTGAAACTATTTGACTGAATTAAGAATGTCGTTCAATTTTGTAAAATAACATAATCCTGCACATGTGGTTTCTGAATCCATTTTCAACAACATTTTGCAATTTATTTTAACATTACAAATATATCTGTATTTTAATTTATAAGGGTTATCGTAAAAAATAAAATTCGAAAAACCAAATGCCTTATTTTTCTAAAAATTTGAAATTATTTACCTTCGACCAACTTTTGTTTCTCATTTTTCCTCGATTTTACAAGCTTTCCGTTTTCTCATTTTCTTTAATTTTCAATTTTTTTTAACTTTAATTTTTTCAATGTTTCATTTTCTCGAGTTTCAAAATTTTCACTTTTTGGATTTACAGTATTTCAATATTGCAATTATTCGATTTTGCAGTTTTTTTTTGGATTTTTCAATTTTTCGTTTCGATTTTATTATTTTCATTTTCTCGATTTTATATCACAATTTTTCGTTGTTTCATTCCCTTCATTTTTTCAAGTATCTTTCGATTTTGTAATTTTTCGTTTATGTATTAAATTTTTCAAATTTTCAATCACTTCTTGATTTCCAACTTTTAGATTTTTCAAAGTGTTCATTTTAAATATATTTTTTTTATTTTCATTTTTGATTTTTCAATTTTACAATTTGCAATTTTTCCATTTTTTGATTTTTTGAAAACAGAAGAAACGAGTAACTGCAAAATCGGAAAATTAGAAAACGAAAAATTTCAAATGAAAGAAATGAAGAAACGAAAAATTCAAACATTGAAAAACAAAAAATTGAAAAAAAAAACTGAATTGAAAAATTGGAAGGAAGAAAAAACGAATCGAATCGGAACATTGGAAAACTCAAAAATCGTGAAATCGAAAAATTATACAATCTTCAAAATTGTAATGTCGAAAAATGTTACACCGAAAGACCTAAAAATTGAAAAATTAAATATCAAGAAATTAAAAAAAAATTAAAAATTGAAAAAATGAAAAACCGGATTTAAATGAAAAAGTTTTTTCAATTTAAGTTTTTCAAGTTTTTCAATTTTTCGATTTGCAATTTTTGAAAATTACAGTTTTTTATATTTGGATTTTTCATTTACTTATTTTTTCATTTTTGGGTTTTTCAATTTTTCGTTTCCTCAATTTTTCAAGGTCTTGATTGTTATTTTTCATTTTGTCGATTTTATTATTTTCATTTTCTCGATTTTATATCACAATTTTTTGTTGTTTCATTTCCTTCATTTTTTAAAGTATCTTTCGATTTTGTAATTTTTCGTTTATGTATTAAATTTTTCAAATTTTCAATCTCTTCTTGATCCCAATTTTTAGATTTTTCAAAGTGTTCATTTTAAATTTTTTGTAATTTCATTTTTGATTTTTCAATTTTACAATTTTGCAATTTTTCCATTTTTTGATTCCAAAAGTTGAAAATTCGTAAATTGAAAAATTTAAAAATTAAAATTCGAAAAACTGAAAAACGAGTAATTGCAAAATCAGAAAACTTGAAAACGAAAAATTTCAAATGAAAGAAATGAAGAAACGAAAAATTCAAGCATTGAAAAACTAAAAATCGAAAATAACTGAATCGAAAAATTGTAAAGAAGAAAAAACGAATCGAATCGGCAAATTGGAAAACTCAAAATCGTGAAATCGAAAAATTATAGAATCTTCAAAATTGTAATGTCGAGAAATGTAACACCGAAAGACCGAAAAATTGAAAAATTAAATATCAAGAAATTAAAAAAAAATTAAAAATCGAAAAAATGAAAAAGTTTTTTAAATGTAAGTTTTTCAAGTTTTTCAATTTTTCGATTTGCAATTTTACAAAATTACAGTTTTTAATTTTTGGATTTTTCATTTACTTATTTTTTCATTTTTGGGTTTTTCAATTTTTCATTTCCTCAATTTTTCAAGGTCTTGATTGTTTTTTTTCATTTTGTCGATTTTATTATTTTCATTTTCTCGATTTTATATCACAATTTTTCGTTGTTTCATTCTCTTCATTTTTTCAAGTATCTTTCGATTTTGTAATTTTTCGTTTATGTATTAAATTTTTCAAATTTTCAATCTTTTCTTGATTCCCAATTTTTAGATTTTTCAAAGTGTTCATTTTAAATTTTTTGTAATTTCATTTTTGATTTTTCAATTATACAATTTTGCAATTTTTCCATTTTTTGATTCTAAAAGTTGAAAATTCGTAAATTGAAAAATCTAAAAATTAAAAATGGAAAAACTGAAAAAACGAGTAATTGCAAAATCAGAAAACTTGAAAACGAAAAATTTCAAATGAAAGAAATGAAGAAACAAAAAATTCAAGCATTGAAAAACTATAAATCTAAAAAAACTGAATCGAAAAATTGTATAGAAGAAAAAACGAATCGAATCGGAAAATTGGAAAACTCAAAAATCGTGAAATCGAAAAATTATAGAATCTTCAAAATTGTGATGTCGAGAAATGTAACACCGAAAGACCGAAAAATTGAAAAATTAAATATCAAGAAATTCAAAAAAATTAAAAATCGAAAAATTGAAAAACAGGATTTAAATGAAAAAGTTTTTAAAATCCAAAAATGAAATAAAGTGAAAAATTTTGAAAATTATAATTATTACTCTTACATATTTAAAATGCAATCTAGAAAAATTGCAAACCAAAATTTGATTAAACGAAAAATTGAAAAATGGAAAAACTGAAAAACTAAAATCGAAAAAATGAAAAATTAAAAAAAAAGTTAAGTAACCGAATCATTGAA